GGTATGTGGTGCTGAGGATTGAACCCGGGCCGCACGCATGCCAGGCGAGCGCGCTACCGCTTGAGCCACATCCCCAGCCCAAGAGAGAATTTTTTTTTAATATTTATTTTTTAGTTTTCGGCAGACACAACATCTTTATTTGTATGTGGTACCGAGGATTGAACCGGGCCGCACACATGCCAGGCGAGCCTGCTACCGCTTGAGCCACATCCCCAGCCCAGTCTTTTTATTTTGAAACAGGGTCTCGCTAAGTTGGTGAGGCTGGCCTCAAATTTGTGATCCTTCTGTCTCAACTTCCAGAGTTGCTGGGATCACAGGCATGTGCCGGATCTAACCAGAAGAGACTTTTTTGCTGCTTATGTTTCTGGGGTTTCCTTCTGCATAGCAGGAGAACTTAGCAGTCTGATTGTTCCCTTGAGCTTTGTGGGCCTCTTGAACAGGATTTTTCCAGTGTCTGAGGCTCAGGGCCCCTTATCTCTGCTCTCAGGTGCCAGAATTATCCCACTATGCCTTACTCAGAACAGTATGCCTTTGTTTTGTAGAGCCCCTCCATGACCTTCCCCAAGTGGCTGTCTCACCCAGTACCCTGTGAACAACCTATTCCCCTCCCTGAGGTAAGCTTTCACCCTGGGTCTGAACCACATGTGAATGGCTCTGGTGGCCCTTTCTATAAAAATCTGGGGCTGGACCCAAAATCGTTAGTTCAATTTATGACATTTTCTTGGGAACACTTTGGGATTTGCGGTATCTCTGGTATTGGGCTGGGCTGCCTACCAAACATCAGGCCCCAGCCTTGTGTTTCACAAGTCATCTGGAATACTCATCTTAACTAGAGGGTTCCATAGGCTATCTTGGCCTCTTTAAAGCTAAGGTGCTTCTGGGGAGAGACTCATGGCCACTGACCCCTCCTTTTGAGCAGGGTCTTCCAGACCCCAGCAGGGTGTCTTCTGAGGTGCAGCAGATGTGGGCACTGACAGAAATGATCCGGGCAAGTCACACCTCCACGAGGATCGGCCGTTTTGATGTGAGTGACTTGTTTCCTTGTTTGGCTTGCATTTGCCCTGAGCAGGTCAGACCTGATATTTTTTTTGTGTGTGTGTGTGTTTGCAGGTGGATGGCTGTTATGACCTGAACTTGCTCTCCTACACTTGAGCAGTGGCTCCTAGCTGAGACATTGGCCTTTCAATGCCCGTCCAAGCTTGGTTTGGGCTACCAGAGGCAGAATTGTGTATCCTGCGCATTCCAAGTGTTGCTTGCATGCCCATTCTGTCTGGGCCACATTTACAGATTCAAGATTCTTGGGGCTTACTGTATTACTTCAGCATGAGTTCCTAACAAGGATACACTCTGTCTTCCATCTGGCTGCAACACAATTCCTTCTTCTACCTTAAAAATACTGAAAATTCCTGAGCACCCTCTGCCCCTTCTGCCAACAAGCACACCCCTGTCTTCTGCCAGTTCCCCTATCCTGACTGCAGTGGGCTGGGATGAATCTGCTCCATCTAACCCTAGAAGGTTACTGTTCCCTTGGCACTCATTTATTGGGAAGCTTGATGAAAAGGTGCCCCATTCATTCCTCAGTCCCCCCTCATGGCCTTCTTTCCCTTTGGTGTTATTCCTACAAAACAAATTTCCTGTTTAAACTCAGCTGCTATCTGCCTACCAGGCAGAGCTGGAGATCTGGGTATCCTGAGTTCCTAGATCCCTGAGCTGTCTCCTGGATGTGTTCCAYTGGGCCTGGACAGGTGCCTCTGGCAATACTGGAGCCTGAAAATGAGAACTACAACCTGTGTGCCGTCTGACACAGCTCAAAGCATATCCATGTTTCTTTTCTCAGTTGGTTCTTTGCATTTGTGCTCAGCATGAGGGGTCAACCTTGGTAGGTAGGTGGGATCCAAGTGAGTCACTGGTGCCTTTTAAAAGGCTAAGGTACTTCATCAACCTGGGCCAACTGTTGAATGATGCAGGCACTTCTTCCTTCATGTGAGAAAGTCCTGCTTACTTCCAGTTCTTCCTGGCTTTGCCCCTGGGGGAGTATTATGAAGGCATACTGCAGGTTGTCTCAGACATGGCAAACTAGACGTATGTGGCATAATAGTTTTCTGGGGGAAGTTTAGTCGAGTCACCATTTGGTTCCCACCCTCTGTTCTCACCCATCAGCCTTCTTGCAGGTGGTGTCTATCTTCAGGGTCATTTACTTAGCCCCACTCAACTTTTTCTGAAAGGATGATGACCATAGACCTGTGTTCAGGAAACAATACTCCTCAGTGTGTGTATATGTGAGTAAAGAGGACCCTGGGGTTGCAGGGATCATATGATATTCCCAGCTATGTTCCCAGTACCCAGCACAGGACAAGATCAATAAATACTTGTGGAATGCATGATTGTGCTGGCTGCCTGTGTGTTCCTGTGCAATAGTTGGAGAACCCTACATGAGGACAGGCTGCAGTGGTGCTCTGCCTGCCAGATTCACTCTACCTTCTTGTGACCTCTCCACTCCTCCATTTGACCTTACATTCCTGAGGTACTGAATGTGTGATTCAAGCCTTTCAGCCCCTTGCAAAACTTTGACCCTTTGGAGGCAGGGCTGGGGGAGGGCTAGCCTCCAGCTTTGGTTCTAGGCAGCCTAGTCTACTCTGGACTGCCTGACCCTCCTGGATTAGGTCTTGCTTGAGGCTGCTGGGAGTGCTAGCACGCTCTGAATCCCAGCCTGCCCTCGGGGCTTCCCGCCCCCTTTTCTGATCCCTTGCGCCTTGGGAAGACCTGTTCGGGCAGTGGCTTGGACTACATCTCCCGGCGTGCCTGGCAGAGTGGTGGCCTCTCTACGCCCTCTGCACTAGTTGCCAGCGGACGATGCAGCGGGCTAGGAGCATGGTGGCCCCTTTGGGCTTTYGCCTGCAGGCGCTTCCCTCGGCCCCAGGTCGCCCTCTCAGTTGCTCGCAGGTGGGATAAAGGGTGTGGGAGGTTTGCTGCTGGTTTTGGCGGGTGGGGGAGGGATGCAGCCAGGAACTAGCGCCCTGATGGCACTAAACCCGGCTGCCCACAGGATGTGCTCCGCAGAACTCCGCTCCATGACTTCCACCTGGCCCATGGCGGGAAAATGGTGGCATTTGCGGGTTGGAGTCTGCCTATACAGTACCAGGAAAGTCACATTGAATCGCACCTTCATACACGACGACATTGCTCGCTCTTTGATGTCTCTCACATGCTGCAGGTGAGCTATGAGAGTGTGTCTGCTGCTGAAACAGACCTTCCTCGACCACGGTGTTGCACTCCTCGGCTTTGTTTTCTGGGAGCGGGATTCTGAAGACAGCCCATAAATAGCTGGTGGTCTAAGGGTTTCTTGGCAAGGCCAAGGAACTCAAGGGGCTGGCTGATTAACTCAGGGTTTCCTTGATCATCTGTGTGTGTTCTCTCCTGCCTGTTTTCGCTAACTGTATACCTTAATGCCCTGAGTTTTCCAGAGCTGGTACAATGCACCGGGTTGGGTATTGGTTTGGAAAAGGGGGTATTTCAGTAAAATGCTGTATCCCCCTTAAGTCCAATCACACCCTAGGCTGGGAAATGGGAGTGGGAGTGAGGGTTGCAGAACTGAAAGACCCACCAATTACTTTGGGCTGGACTGTCTTGTGAATTGAGAGATGTCTCCTTGCCTAGTAGCTTTGTGTGTGTGTGTGTGTGTGTGTGTGTGTGTGTGTGTGTGTTACTGGAAGCCAAACCAAAGGGTGCTCTGCCACTGAGCTACATCCCCAGCATTTTTTATTCTTTTGAGACGGGATCTTGCTAAATTGTCCAGGCTGKCCTCGAACATATCTTTCTGCTGCCTCAGCCTTTCAAGTAGCAAGGGTCTAGTGGCCTTTCAGATGCAGCTATTGCAGTGGCCTAAGGCTTTTGATCTCTTTCCCAGACCAAGATATTTGGTTGTGACCGGGTGAAGCTGATGGAGAGTTTAGTGGTTGGAGACATTGCAGAGCTAAGGCCAAATAAGGTGAGCCCTTTTATTTCTGCTCAATGGGTGTTCTTAGTCACGAGCCAGCAATCAGGCTGTGTCCCTGCCTTAAGCTTGAGGACATAGACATAGATATGGATTCTTGGGCCTTAATGTCTTGAGGAACTCGGACCTTAGGTCATTTCCAGATGCCTATCCAGCTGTGGGATGCTGTCCCAGCATCATCACATCAGGCTAGGAGGCCAGAAACCAAGGTTTTATGTATAATTTCTGGCCTTTCATGCTTCCTATCCCCTTGCTATTCAAAGTATGGTCCCTAAGCCACCAGCCTTACTGCCTCCTAGGATCTTGTTAGGAATATACTCTCAGACATTGCTCCAGACCTCTGAATGAGAAACTTTATTTTGGGAAGATCCCCAGGTGATTCATCAGACCTTACAAGCTTAGGTTCTTCATCCATTTAATGGGAAGGCTAAGGCCAGCCTTGCAGTATTTTGGTGGTTTATCTGGGATGAAGATGGACTTCAAGGTTTTTACCCATGAGCTGAGTTGTCTGGGTGGGATGAAGCAGTAGGTTTGGATATCATAGATTAAACGTGAGATGGAATTCTCAGTACTGTAGGGCATTGCCCAAGGTGGGGAGGAGTTGAAAACTTGGTGCATGAGAATCAAAGACTCTGGATTTGAATCTAGCCTTGCCCCTTACAACTTGTACAGCCTGAGCTCTGGGCATGAAGGTTCATGAGTTTGTGGTGTCTGCTTACCCTTGGCTTTGGTTTTCTGGACCTAAAGTAAAAATGCTCCACTTTGATGCTAGGGGACACTGTCGCTGTTTACCAACGAGGCTGGAGGCATCTTAGATGACTTGATTGTGACCAATACTTCTGAAGGACACCTATATGTGGTGTCCAATGCTGGCTGCTGGGACAAGGACTTGGCCCTCATGCAGGTATAGCCCTTCTGTGTTTCAGGCACTTTTGTTTTCCTTTTTCATAAAGCAGTATTCCTTGTTGTCCAGGTCACAGACAAGAGGCTCAGAAAATGGCTCAAGAGCAAGTCCTCCCTGAAGCATGCCAGGGTTTGGTTGTGGGTACTAGGGAACATGGGGAGGTAAAAGTGACCCTGGCCACTAAGTGAGCATCCTCTGGGGAGGGTAGAAGTGACAGAACTGAGGATAGATCAGCCTTACCATCTGGTAGATGTGTGACCTTGTAAGATGGGAACCAGCCTAGTATCTCATTGCTCAACACTGCAGTGTCCAGCCTATGGTAGGTGCTCAGTAAGTGGTCCCAGACACTGGTGTGGTGTTTCTGTCTTTCTTTTTAGGACAAGGTCAGGGAACTTAAGAACAGGGGCAATGATGTGGGCCTGGAGATTGTGGATAATGCTCTGCTAGCCCTGCAAGGTGAGTGGTCTGGGCTAGATTGAACCTAACCTTTGTCTTCCTGGCTTCATCTACTGCTTAACACAGAGGCCGTTCAAAATGAAGGTGTAGATGGTATGATATTTGTGTGCCATAATTCTAAGGTATCTTTCCCCCCCAACTATTGTTGGACCAGGGGCAAAGGCATCTTCTCTCAGAGAACTTGCTCAGGACTTACTCTAGTCACTRAGTAAGGGCTATAGTCTAGCTTTGAGGCAGGGCTGGGACCAGGACTCTTGGTCATTGGCTTCTTGGGTCCAGGCCCTACTGCAGCCCAAGTTCTTCAGGCTGGTGTGGCAGATGACCTGAGGAAATTACCCTTCATGACCAGTGCTGTGATGAAGGTGTTTGGTGTGTCTGGCTGTCGAGTGACTCGTTGTGGCTACACAGGAGAAGATGGTGTAGAGGTATGTCAAGTGAATGGAGGGCAGTGCAGGGTACAAAATTTGTAGGAGCAACTGACCACCTGCTCTCTGGTGTCCCATGCAGATCTCAGTGCCAGCCCCTGGGGCAGTCCACCTGGCAACAGCTCTGCTGGAAAACCCAGAGGTGAAGCTGGCAGGGCTGGCTGCCCGGGACAGCCTGCGCCTGGAAGCAGGCCTCTGCCTGTATGGGAATGATATTGATGAACATATCACACCTGTTGAGGGCAGCCTTGGTTGGACATTGGGTGAGTTGGGCTAGCACTGAAGGGATTCTGCAGGTTGGAGTGACCTTTAATGAGGTCAGCCGGCTTATAACTGCTCCTAACAGTTGGAGCAAGTGACTCAGCCTTGCTGAGCCTCCATTCCCTGAAGGTCTACTGTGGCTCTGCCCATTACGAACTGAAGACCCTCAGCATGGTTTTCTGTGGGTAGGAGGTGGTTGGCTGGCTGACTGCAGTGCAAGAGAGGAATCAGCCTGGGAGAGTCCAAATGATCTTTTTTCTTTAAATATTTATTTATTTTAGTTCTCAGCAGACACAACATCTTTGTTTGTATGTGGTGCTGAGGATCGAACCCGGGCCGCACGCATGCCAAGCGAGTGCGCTACCGCTTAGCCACATCCCCAGCCCCCCAAATGATCTTGATGGATGTCACTTGGGGTCCTTGTATCCAGGACCTCTTGTGGCCAGGGCTTTTACAGGCTGTGACTTAGGTCTGATGTATCATGTTCCAGGGAAGCGTCGCCGAGCTGCTATGGATTTCCCAGGAGCTAAGGTTATTGTTCCCCAGCTGAAAGGTGAGGTGCAGCGGAAGCGTGTGGGATTGATGTGTGAGGGGGCTCCAATGCGGGCACACAACCCCATCCTGAGCACAGAAGGCATCATGATTGGTAAGTGATCCAGGGAAGCTGGGGTGCCCTTGTTCCTTCCCCAAAAGTGTTGGGGTATTAGGCTGGCATGGTGGTATTGACACATGGCCTATGCTTGGACAGGTACTGTGACCAGTGGCTGCCCTTCACCCTGCTTGAAGAAGAATGTGGCAATGGGTTATGTGCCCTTCAAGTACAGTCAGCCAGGAACACAGCTGCTTGTAGAGGTGCGGCGGAAGCAGCAGATGGCTGTGGTCAGCAAGATGCCCTTTGTACCCACGAACTACTACACTCTGAAATGAAAAAGGCCCAAGGAAGGGCGCTCCTCTCTGGGAGTCTACCTCTAGGGAACATTCATTAGGGCTCAGTCAGGATAATGAAGAAGAACTCACCAGGAGTGGGCAGCTAATTAGAATTTGGCTCTAGTCTGAGGAGGCCACTGAGACTACCCCTAAACCCCAATACATGCCACTGATTTCAGCTCACCCTATGTCCTATTTCAGTTCATAACCCCAGTAACTCCACTCTGCCATAAGTGCTGGCTATAAAGCAAAAGCTCAACTTTGTAGGGAGAATACCTGCCCAATCTACCTCACCAGTTTCTCACATTTCAGAGGGCTATTACTATGGACAGTGTGAGCTTAGCATACCTCCTTCACTTTGCTTTCCATGAATGCAAACTGCTGCCTCTCCCTGTACAGGAATGATTCTTGAGTCATAGAACATTGGCTTAGTTATTCCTATGTGTAAACCTGGGGGTGGGTGAGTAGACATGGACTCACTCTTCCACATTCCCTATTTGGCTTGGCCCGCTGCCCAGTAGCAAACCATGGCAAATTTACCACCTGAGGTGACCTTCACCCCTGGGACCCATAACTAGACTTTACTGATTCCTGAAAAAAAATTAAATGAGCTTATTCCTTCCAACTTGCCATGGTCTCTAGCTTCATTGTTCAGGGTTCCTGGGTTGTCAACCCAATGCCCGCATTCCTGGCCTCCAAGATGGGCTTGGAGTAGGTTCTCCTTGAGAGAGCCAGGTCTAAGAACTAATGGGAATACTGTCCTTGTTGGGTGCCCACCACCAAGGAACTGGCATTACCTCTCATCTCTGCAAATTATTGTACTGTGGGTCCTGAAATCTTCAGCAGTTCCCCCACCAGTTGCCCCCTGTGCATGTATACTTGTTTGAATAACCACACAAGCAATGCACTTCTTTGTTTAATAAGCTACATCCTCAGTTGGGCTTGGAGTRAAATGTGAGACCCTAAATGTATATGTGATGGTGCCAGCAGATGGGTCTGGGGCTATGAAGAAAGCATCATCCTGCAAGCCAGATGACAGCTGTGGAGTGGGTACATAAGCTTGAGTGCAGTGCAGTCTCACTTCCAGTGTTTCTCTGTCACAAAAAATCTGCCTAAGCAAAGGCTGCCAGATGGATATGTGACATCTAACAGAAGAAGCAGGCAGTGTGACACTGAGATAGCTGGTGGCCCAGCAGAGGCAAACAGAAGTACAGCCATTAGGGAAAGAGGCAAGACCAGAGCCACAGTGCTTTCTGGAGGCAGTGTTTGTATAGGGCCATTTGCCATCTACCCTTTTGGAACCTCTCCTGGCCCACTGTAAAGAGGCCAGGGTTGCCTGGCTTGTGGCTCTTTCCTGTTGAGGATTTCTAGGGGCTGAGATGGTGCTAGTGGCTCTTAGGATGAGGCCCCTAATCTAGTTTAAGGTGGAAAATCATAAGTTGCAAGGCATGAGGAAGTCACTATACTATAAGTGCTTAGTACTTTCCTATGGGGGCGGGTATAGACCCAAGATCCCATGGGTATTTAAATAATATGAGTGGGAAGCCAACCCAGGGGCTCAGCTTGTGGTCTCTCTTTCAGGCACCCAACTTTCTCCCAAGAAGTGCAGAGACATGAGGACAGATGATAAATGACAATTTCCTTTGCCTGGTTCATACGTGGAGAGCTCTGGTTGGGTGAAGGAGATGGGTATTTGGTGCTTAAATGTGGACGGTGCCAGCAGGGATACTCTGCCTTCTACTTAAATGGCCAGCTAAGTAACCATAGAGTAAAAGGCCAGGATTACCTGGTACTCTGCCAATAAAGCAAAACCAAAGAAATTCAGGAAATTGAGGGCTTCAGGGAGTGATGATTTTCCTTACAAATCTCAGATCTGGTCAACCTCTGGCTTCTTAGAGTGGTATATCACTATGGGGTCACATCCCAGAAGGATAAGAAGGGAGAAAGGAAAAAGATAAGACAGAAAAGGGACTACTGGCTTTCCCACCCAAAGATTTCTCCTGAGCTGACACCAGAGAGAGAAGCAACATGTCTTCTCTCCTTAAGGCACCCGTATCAGGGTAGAGGAAAACTCTTTACTTGCCCAGTACCTGGGACAGTTGGAAGCAAGTCTGAATGTAATGGAGGCCCAGTCCTGAAAGCATTGGGGTACTCTACCCCCAATCCCAAACCCCCTGCAGTTGTCCCTGGGGTCTGGGTAGCAGCAGCAGGACCCATTGCAAAAGCCAGCAGACCTCATGATGCCTCTTGAGACTCTTCTGCTGCCTTCTCTTATTCCCTGTGAGTTTTGAGAGGTTCATTTGCTGCCATTTCCCTGAAGGAGATGGAAAGAGAAGAGACAGAGGTTATTCATGGGCAGCAGAATAATCTCTGAGATTGGCTCTCCCCAGTCCCTTTACTCAGCTGGGCTCAGTAGAGCTGCACTATAATTCGGACCTTTAGGCTGATCTTTCACAGCCCACCCAGGGCTTACCATTTTTCCCCTGCAAACCTGTTTTTCTTGGATCCTTACCTTATGGAGCACCCATCCTTCCTTAGTTGCCCAAGACAGAAAGCTGGGCAGTGGTAGTCTTCCTAAATGATCTCTTACCTTCACTCTTGCACCCCTTTATCTATTTGTCATCAACCAGGCAAATTCAGGCCACAACCTTGCTGAGTCAGTCTTCAATGGCTCCTTAGGCCCTCCATGCCTACATGTTCAAACTCCACCATGACAGCTTTATCTATTCTTATATCACCTGTGTGCCTTGTTTTATCCATTCTCCATGCCCAATACACTAAACCATCCCCTGGCCTTTGATCTCAGCTTAGGTGTCTTGGGAGATGACTTCCCTGATCACCTGTGCCTCTGCACAGCTGCCCCCCCCCTTTATAAATCTCTTGCTCCCCTCTATGAGCGGACCTGAGTTCTCCTTGTTCTCTGGGTCTAGTGTGGCATTTGCCAGTGGTAGAAGCTCAAAGATTTGGTGACTGAATGCTCTGATAAATTAGTTTTACAGATGAGGGGGTTGACTCCAATGAGATCAGTGTGGTAAAAATAGAGATTGGGGTAGAGGACTTGCCTAGAACAGAGGCAACTGAGGGACTTCCCAAGTGAAGGGCTTGCTCCCACATACCTGCCACTTCATCTCTGAAAATTATGACAATACCACTAACCACCCCACAGGTTGTTGAACAGCATGCTGGTGATGATTCTCCAGAAACTGGTGTCATGCCACCTTGAAGCTTGAACTCTGCATAGAAATTTAGAAGAGTGCTGCAAAGGACACTAAGCTGACGAACTGATACCCTGAGAGTTCCCCTTCTTGTCAATAACACAGGGATGACCTCTATCTGCCAAGCATGGGGTTGGGGTAGAGACAGATTTACTCACCACGAAGGAAAATGCGTGGAGCCATCGGGTGTGGATCCATTCTGGCCACCCAGACCTGGAGAAATACAGAGCTGCAGCGGGATGGGGATCTGGGCAGACATTAGCTCAGGTCAGGGAACGGTTATTTTTGGTGGAGAGTGGTGGGGGTTCTAAGGGACTAGTAGTATCTGGTGAGGGTTTTGAGGAACAGTTACCATGTGATGGATGGACTGGTGGGAATTCTGGCATTAAAATGGTATGGTGGCACAGGTCAATGTACAACTACAAATTCTGATGAGCCTCTTTGGGGGATCATTAGTAGTCTAGAGATTCTAGGGAAACCAATGGTATAGCCTGGTAGTGGTGGTGGTGGTGGGTCGGCCAGCCCACGGAGGTTCGTAGGGAGCCTCACCTGGGCGGTGATATAACCCGGTCACTGTGTTCCCGTAGAAACCCCAAGCCAGCTGGATGCCCAAGAGACTTAACACCAACCAGAGCAGCAACAGCTTGAAAAGGGTCACGCGCATGTCCTGCGCCTCCCACTCTCGGAGGAATTCGCTGCCCAGGGCGCCCAGCGCGCCCAGCACCGTGGCCGGAAAAGCATGCAAAGACTGCCCAGACCAAGGTTCCGCCATGACTGGCCCGCGCCCCTCCCGGGGTACTGTCACCGCAGTCCCTACCACGCAGGCGTATGGTCTTCCGGGTTAGGATCACCAGTGCGCACGCGTAATAAAAAGCGGAGGGGCCCTAACTCGCTTGCGCGAAGAGTTGGCAGTTTGGGGAGGAGTATTAAAACCGCGCAAGCGCACCCGGCCCCACCCTGCTTACTTAAAGGATGAGTGACTCCGAAAGCATAAAATAGCAACCGGGTCTTTTATAGCCCCGGAGTTCCCGTGATGCTCCACGCGGTAGCAATGATTGGTTAGGCGTCTTGCTTTTAGGGCGTGGACGTGCTACTGAGCAATCGTGGCTGAGCTGTGAGTGCGCGCCCGCACGCGGGGCCACGACTGGCTCCGGCTCGAGCCCGCTGGGCGCCCGGGGGCGCGCACGTCCCTCCCCGCCCTCCCGCCGCCGCCCGCCCTCCTTCGCTCSCGCTCCCCGCCCGCAGCCAGCCGCCCTCCGTCGGTTCTTTCGTTAGTCCGCGGTCGTCTCTGGAGCTACCCGTCCTCGCCTCAGAGCTTGCGACTCACGGACAGGCGTTCTTGGCGCAAAGAGGCCAGACTCGGAGTCGTCGTCTGAGGTGAGCGGGAGGATTCTCTCAAAGCGCCGCTGTTCCCTGGGCCCGCTCGGCACTTTTCCGGCCATCCGCCCACTGCCCCGCCGCGGCCGCGCCCCACCTGCTGCTCCGCGCTGGCCGCTCCAACCCCTGGACCCTGACCCTGACTCCCGGCCGGACCCCTTCCCCGGAGGCGATGGCCCCGCCCGCGCAGTCTCCGGAAGCGCGCCCCGCCGCCTTCAGTACCCCTTCCCCCGCCCGGCCTGGCCTGGTGGAGCCCTAGCCGCCCGCCCTCCCCAGCGCTTCCTCTCTCGCGGCCGCGCGGGGTTGGGCGGGGACTCCGGGCTGGCGAAGGACCGCACGGTGTAGCCAGCCGCCGCGAAGCGCGCGTAGCGTTGGAGTTGAAATGATAAAGAAACTCTTTACAACTCCATTTTGCCGTTTACATTTAATATGCAACATGAACCACAGATTTATAATGGTGAAGATGGTTATACTTTGGATAGATTTCATTTTTTTATTGTATTCTTGGAGAGTGTTGTGTTGAAATTCTAGGAGTAAGACTGTCTTATTGGATGAAAAAGGCATTTTTCATTTAAAAATTTTTTAATGATTTAAGTGATGTTTCATTAAAATAGTTGTAATTATACACAGCCTTAAGTCACTACCTTAATTAGGAATAATTTAAACATACTTGTTCTTAGTTACTGATTGGATTGTTTGTTACTGGTCATCTTCATGAGATTGCACTATTTATACCAAATCAATTTGGTTAAAAAACCTTGATTAGCAGTTTATAGTGGAAAATTGGCATCCTTTTCCCCTCAAAGTTGGTTCCACGTGTTTTTTAATAGTCCTTATTTAAAACTTTTATCTCTGTTTTTTGTATTTTGACAATATTGAAAAAAAGTTTATTGAAGGTGTGTAATCAGAATATATTTCTCTCTGCCAAATCTGAAGGGAAAAATATAAATAAAAAGGAAACCTTATATTTTAAAGTATTGTTCTGTGGTGAGAATTTTTCAACTACTTAGTGTCACACTCCCCAAAATATAGTGTGTACTCTGCAGATAGATGATTGTCACCTTCAGCATAGCTACATTGAAGATATTCCTTTGAACATTTGACACACGTGACATTGGGCTGAAAATACAAGTCTCTTTCTTCATTGTAAAGGATGACTTATTGAAGGATCTTTTTGGGGGAGAAGAATACTGGGCTTTGAACCCAGGGGCACTTTACCACAGTGCTGTATCCCCAGTGTGTGTGTGTGTGTGTGTGTGTGTGTGTGTGTGTGTGGTTTTGGTTCTTTTTGGAGGGGTGCTGGGGATTAATTCAGGGCTTCCAGCTCTAGCATTCTACCAACTGAGCTGCATCCCCAGGTGCCTCCTCTCATTTTATTTTGAGACAGGGTCTTGCTAAATTGTGGAGGCTGGCCTCAAACTTGTGATCTTCCTGCCTCAACCTACTGAGTAGCTGGGATTACAGGTGAGTGCTACCATACCTAGCTGGAGGATCTTTTTTTGATAAGTAGACAGAACCTCAAAATAACTTATGTAGGGTAGTGATGGCTCTTGAGGGACATAAAATAGATCAGATGGAACTTGAGTTCTTTTTTTTTGTTTGTGGTGCTGAGTTTGATCCCAGATCCTTGTGGGTCTAAGGCAACAAGGCAGGCACTCTACCAACTGAGCTATATCCCCAGCCCTCTTTTTTTTTTTTTTTTAAAGCTGGTGAGTTGAACCTAGGGCCTGGAGAGTATGCTGAGCAGGTGCTACACCACTGTGCTACCCCACCAACCCTGGAACCTGCTTTGAGTCAAAGTCTAGTACTTAACTTATAGGCTCTATTCAAATAAAATTCTKTACTGGAGGAAAGAGAATAAGAATATAACTACCAACAAATTTCTTCATAGATCTAGAATTTTAGATCCAATAGGAATCTTCAGGATTTGTAGACCAATCCCATGTGCAGGTGTGGAAACTGAGGCCCACAAACTTGAGAGTACTTCCCGAGATGTTACATCTAGTCAGGTATTCTCCATGTGCTCCCAAACAGCTGGCCCAGAGTCAGCTGAAATTCAGGGATTCCAGTTTACTCAAGTATTTTTCTCTTTTTTACCTTGCAGATTGTGCACAGTTGGAGAGAATCTAAAAAATTCAATTGCCAATAAATTTCTTTAGCTTTCWTAGTATTCATTTTTCTGTAGCTGAAGTGTCCTGATGGTATTCCAGTTCAGAGAGAGAGTTAAATGTACAGGGTCCCTTGCTGACTTAATCCTGGCTTTAAGTGTTTGGATCTTTATGAAGGACTAGCTCAGAGGGAGGCTCAAGATTTCCCTGCTCCAAAGGCACCATTACTAGATTCAGCTAGAGTGTTTTTAAGCAACTCTTTTGACTTGATTTATGGTAGGATGGGGAGAAACTGCATGTATCAAAGTGTGCACAAGCATGGGGTAGTGGTATTACTGGAGTGCCCTCCCCACTTACTGGGGATCAAACCTAGGGCCATGCTTGTATACCTATTAGGCAAATGCTCTACCAGTAGCTCCTCTATTGCTTGAGATAGGGGGATCCTCCTTCTAGAATTACAGGCGTGCCCCACTGTGTCCGGCCCATTTGAATATTTTCATAGTCTTAATTCCTTTTCTGTTTGTCATTAGCCCTATTTAAAAGTTTATTCTGGTCATGTGGGGGCATAAGTTATTGGGAGAGTTAAAAACAAGGTAGACCTTCAAGGGTGTTTCTTGTCATTGGGGTGGAGTCAAAGTGGTGACAGGAAGATGATCTTCTTAATTGTCCTTGGAAGCCCAGAGATTTGTTTACTCTGTGAGAAAACTGTTATTTCAACTTCTAAAAGAACTACTCTGGATTTGATGGGCTTCTATAGATAGCACAGTGGATTTAATTGCATTTTGCTACTAGTGACAAGGATATATGGTACATAATCACTAGATTTTAAAATTGCCTTTTGTAGGTTTTTTTTTCCCCCTCCTCCATCCTCCCCATACTGGGGACTGAACACAGGGGCATTTTACAGTTGAGCTATATCCTCAGCCTTGTTTTTAAGATAATAATTATTATTATTTTTCAAAGAGAGAGTGAGAGACAGAATTGAGAAAGAGAGTGAGAATTTTTTAATATTTATTTTTTAGTTTTTGGCGAACACTACATCTTTGTAAGTGGTGCTGAGGATCGAATCCGGGCCGCATGCATGCCAAGCGAGCGCGCTACCGCTTGAGCCACATCCCCAGCCCCTAAAATAATAATTATTATTATCTTTTATTTATTTATTTATTTATTTTTTTTTTAAAGAAAGAGTGAGAGAGGAGAGAGAGAGAGAGAGAGAGAGAATTTTTAATATTTACTTTTTTTTAGTTCTCGGCAGACACAACATCTTTGTTGGTATGTGGTGCTGAGGATCGAACCCGGGCCGCAGGCATGCCAGGCGAGCGCGCTACCGCTGAGCCACATCTCCAGCCC